CCCCAAAACCCCAAAACCCCTGCTTATTTTAATTCATTTTTTTTTGTGAATAGATTATTAATTAAATAATTAGATATTAATATAAAAGTATTATTATTATCTTAGAAGATCCAGATATACAATTTATAAATAATTATTAATCATGATATCTAAACTAGCAACTTTGTCGATCATATGCTTAATTGGATCAATAACTGCTTCTCATGATCATGTTCACTAACACTCTAAAAAGCATTTCCTTAAACAAGCTAACCAATAATAAGAAGAGGAAAATGGAAATGCAGTGGATCCAACGAAAGGATGGAAAGAAATCAAGTTAGATTACTACGTCTAGAAGCCATGGAATATTCCTCTAAATGAGAGATATCAGTTCAAGGATGGTGTTCATCACTTCCTTGTTTACAAAAATGATTTACCCCATACAAAAACTTCTCATACTCATCCAAGAACAGAAATGGCAATCGAGCATGGATGGACAACTGGGAATAATCAATTTGAGGGTGAAGTATTTGTGCCCAAAGGAACTTCAGGAGTTAATCTACTTCAAATCTTTGGAGGAGATTCGAGCAAGGGTATTGCAACTTCCTTTATGATGCAAATATTCGATGGAACTATAAAGCATTACACTAATGAAGTTATCTAAAAAAACTGTGACGATAGATGGATTAAAGTTAATCTCATTCACAATGCTGATTCAGGGAAAATTCAATTGTTCCTTGACGGAGTTAATGTCTTCAACTCTCATGATAATGGTCACGATACTCATTCATTTAAATGCGGTGCCTACTCATCAATCAATGCCTCAGATAAAATGATTGTTCTTTGGAGAAATCTCAAAATCTTTGTTAAGTGATTATCTCTATTTTCTAGATCTACCCTCTGCTTAATGCAGGAATCTAACTCAAAAATTATCTTAATTTATTGATTAACACAAAAACATAAATATTGCTTTTGTTCTGTTTATATTCAATGTTTGATTCTCGGGGTTTTGGGGTTTTGGGG